TACACGAATCCATATGAAAATTAAAATTGAAAATAAACAAATCTAGGAAACACATGGAGGCGCAACATCTCGGGTTAGGGATTTACTCGTAAAATAAAATATTTTTATCACCTTTTATTTTATATGTCAAGTAGAACTTTTTATGCAATTTTTTAACATGTAAATTTAATATCTATACCAATTTGTATTAAACTCATTTTAAAAGTCGTGAGATTTTGTATGTTGTTCGAGTATGGTAAATTATTTTGAAACGAAGAAAGTTCATAGTATAATTGATGATTAAAGTTAATTCAGTTTTACTTTTCAAGTCAACTTGACAAAAAAGAATATAAATTACAAATTAAAGACAAAAGAAAATAAAATATTTGTTGAATAAAAATTACTTCGTATAAATTATTGAGCAATGTTAGGTTCACCAACAAACTTGTCACAAATTTCACAAACTTACCATTTTATGATTTAAATTCTCTATTTTATTTGTTTATTAAACTACAAAAATGGTAAGTTTGTGAAGTTTGTAACTATTTTGTTTGTGAACCTAACATTTTTCTAAATTATTTGTCAATATTGACTTTTACAGCAAAATCGAATGTACATAATCATATACTCCCTCTGTTTCTGAGTTTTTGTCTATTTTTTACTTTTTTCAGTCAAAATTGGTAAATTTTAACTTCAAATTAGATAAAATTATACTACATTGATACTAAAATAGTTTTATTAGATTTATTATATCAAATATTTTTAAAATATTATTTTATCCCATTAATATACAATATATATTTTTTAATTTTAGATCAAAAATTAAAAATTGTTGACCGGAAAAAGTCAAAACTGGACAAATACTCAGAAACAGAGGTAGTACTTGGTATAAATAAACAAGAAGTTCAAAGTAAATATACAAAATATATGAAAACAATTCAAAATACATGTCATTATAAAGCTAAACGAGATAACTAGTGTGACTATTTTTTTGGGTCATGCCTAGGGTGCCCTCAAATGATTGATACCAGTGGTCCACCCATACTTCGCACATATGATACAGACGATAATTATCTATGCGAAGCGTGGGTACACCCCTGATAGCAACCATTTGAAAGCACCCTAACATTTTTCTAATTTTTTAATGTCATTTTTTGCTCTTGAATAGGGTTGTAAAACGAACGAATCGAATATTATGATATTTTATTCGTATTTGAAAAATGATACCTTTATTCATATGCATATTCATATTCATTTCTTATTCGAATAATTATTACTATTCGTATTCAACTTGATACTAAATTCAAATATTCGGGGTTCCTATTCTGTTATAACTCACACCTCAATTTCTTCCAGGTTTTATTTTGTGTTTCTATATCTTTAATTTCCTAATTTAGATAAAATAATATTTCGTAATATTTATGAGTGTTTGAGAGATTCTATATTATAAATCTGGCCGGACATACATTGTTATTATTGTATATATTCTTCATATGCATTTATTTTAATAATAATAATAGTTGAAACAAAAGTAATATTAAAATGCATGTAAATAATTATTATGTCACTATTGAAGATAGTTGGGAAAAAATTAAAAGAATTAGCAGATGCTAGGATCTTATAAATTACAAGATTTTCAAAGAAGTTAGAAAAATTATAAAAAAACTGAAATGAGCCCAGAGGAGTTTGAGAAAATTAGAAGAAATTACAAGAGACTAAAAGAAATTGAAAAATTTTGGAAGAGTGAAAAGAAATTTGAAAGAGTGACAATCTAAAATACTACTCCAACTATTATAAAATCATTTAAAAAAATAAACACATTTAAATCAATCAAAACATTCTTGCAATTGTAAAAATAAAAACTCAACCACACATGATTTAAAAATGATCTGCTTTGACAACGTGAAAAGTGAAGTTGTAAAATGTAAATACAAAAATTGCTTGGAAGCTAGAGAAGTAATTAGTTACATTTGGGAGCAGAGAAGTATTAACGTAAATATATTCTATAACTAAATGTATTTTTAATTATGTATATATATTTTGATCAAAGTTTATAAATGGCAGAACATAATTTTTTGATCAAATATAAATCCTTAGATCAATACGTCATTCCTATATTTTAAAATGCGACCTAATTGGTGTACTACTTGAACCGATCCAAATATGTAGAGTTAATAAGAGTCATATAATATGCCTCTTTCATTTTATTTACAAATTAGTAGAGAAAAAAATGAGAAAATTATATCATTCAAAAATATTGTATCAAAAGCTCTGCAAAACGAGATACAATAAATAAAATATATTTTTGTTTTATCAAACTGTCAACTAAAACGAATAAACAAACAAAAGTTATTGAGAGACTGAAATAATTAAGACATTTAAGACATATATATACGACACAAACTCATGCTAGCTCGAATAAAGGCATCAACTAGTTAACAACTCTTCAGGTTTAATTTCTAACCTATGAGTATGGGAAGAGTATAATTAATCGTTATTTTATTATTCTTCTTGTCAAAATTTAATTGTCCATTTTTTTTGTCATCTATCAGAAATTAGTTATTACGTATGATGAGTGATTATATTTTAAATATAAGAAATCAATCTAAATAAAAAATAAAATATATAGAAAATATCAAAATAAAAACTTCATGTTTTTACTTCTAAAATAGGAATTTGGATAGTGGTAATGTGACATGCACATCATATGGACATTTTACGGTATTTTTTAGTAATAATGTGTATGATTATGAATTTATGACTGGCATTGTATATTTGTTTTAACTCCTATTTTAAAAATAAATATAGAACGTACATATCCTATTTTGATATATTTTCAATGTTTTACTTTCACTTTAATTTTTTTCTCATAAAATATCTAAGAAATAAGATATAATTATTATTATTATTAACACGAATGACCCGCAAACAATACGTGTGAAAAATTTATTTGGTATTTTGAACTTCTTAGAAATTGAATATTTTAGAAAATAAAAAATTATACTCGGTATTATTTGAACATCAAACAAGTTTATATATAGGAGTTAAATAAACATTGACGAAATGAAATTAATAATAAGAAACAATTAGTCAATGAGACAAACAAATTGGTACACAAAAAGTGATTCAAAAAATGAAAAACAAAAGAAAGACAGTTGATAATGAAGTCCAATCACACCATTACAAAATAATATTTGAGGATGTGAGAGAGAATTGATAGAGAAGGACGACAAATGTAATGATGCATTGGGTATGTATGGAGATTTTGGTTTTGGGTGGTCGATCCAGCAGTACTTTACTCTTCATATGATCCAATTAAGATAATCACAAATTCCTATAAGACACAAAACATATACTATTTTATTAATCAAATAATTAATACTTTTAACTATTACTCCTTCCGTCCCTAAATGTTTACCATAATTCTCAAAAAATGAGACAAAATATTGAGTTTTTTAATTTCATTTTATTTAAATATTGGCATGAAAATAAAAAATAAAATCTACATATTTAAAAATTATATGAAATTTTTTTCGAAATAAGAGGTGTCAAGTTGTTATTCTCGTTATTCAATCTATTGATTCTCATTAAACTATCAAGTTGTTTTTCTCGTTATTCAATTTATTGATTTCTCAACGCTGCTTTGCAACATTCATCCTCCCAAATTTTCCAACAATATGTATTCTAGAGCGAGAAAATTAAGACAAAAAGTGTAACTAATAAGGATGTTAATGGATCGAGATTGAATCGTGTAAGGCTTCACCATCATTCACCATTTCTATTTATGTTCTATCCATTATCTAATTCATGCAATATCCGTTACCCATAACATCCATCATTCGTGGGTGAAGGATCAGAGATGAGATAAAAGAGGTAACAAGTGAAACGTAATTAGTACTACCTCCGTCCCACTGTCTTTGTCCACTTTTGACTTTTGGAACTGTTCATCTAAGCACTTTGACTCATCAAATTCTCTCAATGTGTAAGCCTAAAAATAGTCATGTGTGATCTTGTTTGATTCGTCTTAACATATAGATTATTAATATATAATTTCTATAATTTTTTAATATACAAATTACAAGATAAAATGGATTAAAGAAGCGCATTGAATA